GGGTCAGTTCCCTTTTCCAAATTGCAGTTTCCAATTCTAAACCAGGGATAACAAATCCAGCCTGGGGCACCACTTAGAAACTGCAAAGCACTGTGAAGCGGTAGGAAGGAACACGGTTTTCCCCTGGCCGGGGCCTGGGGGCGGCGGTAAGGGTGGGTTGAGCCGGCGGCAGGAGCACCTATGCCTTTCAGAGGACTCACCAGCTCATTTACTCTAGCCTTTCTCCAGAGGCCCAGGCCACAGAGCAGAGGAGGAGGGTATAAAATATCAGAGTTATTTAATAGCCAGTTGTCCACTCCTCAGAAGCAGTGTGGCCTCTGCTGACTCAATGGAGAACATGAATCCTGAGCCTATGGATTTTCCCATGTCTCACATGGGGGAAGGAGTGAGAAATGGAACAGCAGAGCCAGCAGTGGAGTCTTCCCCTCCCACCAGTGCAGAAGCTACACAGAGGAGAGAGCCTGGGGCCTCCCCCACTGTGACCTAATGGCTGAGCTCCATCACGGCAGCCCTGCCGGCTGCTCCTCCACTTGCCTCGGTGGAAAGGGGGGCGGAGGGGGAGGGAGGCCACCAGGATAAAGGGACCCTGCAGGCTGCTACAGCATCAGAACCCCCAAACCATCCCACCACCACTTTCTAGTTGGGGTGGAAAGTTCAAGGTCACACACTGAGAAGGTGGGGGCACCAACTAGGGAAAATCATAGCATTACCTCCCCCTCCATGACCCCAATCTCTAAAAAGCCAAGGGGCACAGGACTCAAAAGCCTTCCAAGACCATCACACACACACACACACACACACACACACACCACACACACACACCTTCTTTGCAGACTGGGAAACTCAGATCTGGGAAGGTAAACTTGCCACAGACCCTCGAATTGACAAAACTGAGTGGGAGGTGGATGGGGAAGGGGCTACCTGTTGGGTGACCTCGGAAAGTTGCCAGATCTCCCTAGGCTTCCTACCAAGGACGTGGAGCTTACAGAGGACAGGGCCTTTGTGGGGCAAAAAAAGGACCCTAGTGGAGGAGCTGGACTAGGGGAGGGAGGGAAGCGTATCTTCAAAGGCTCAGAGAGGGGCCCTGAAACTTAATGAGATAATAAATTCAAGAATTGGGGTCCAGAGTGGCTGACAAGGGGGATTCTCAACCTAGCACAGGGCAGACTATCACTATGCTTGGGTGGGCCTGGGGTGACTATTGTTGAGTCCTAAGGAAACCCTCAGGGCCTGAACTCTTTGCCCACAGGCTCCCCTGGGATCTGACCCAGTCACACTCCCCAGGGGGAGAGAGCCTCGGATGAGAGAGCTGCAGCAAAGGAGAGGGGCAGGTAACCTGAGCTCCTGTCAGGCTCCCATCCGGTCAGCTGTGCAACCTTGGGGGAAAGCACTTAACCTTTCTGGGCAGGTGTCTCCTGGTGTGAAGTGTAGAGGGAGGATCCTCAGCTAGCCTGCCTCACAGGGATGGGATGATCAAGCCAGAGATTTTAAAATCATTATTTCATTCAATAATGTTCCCTAGTGCCCTTCTCCATGCTGAGCTCCAAGCTGTATGCTGACAAGACAGGAAATCAGACCAGTCCTGAGCCCCAGTTGCTGACAATCGGGGGGCGGGGGGTGCAGGGGAGCTCTAGCCCTCTGACCACTGAGTGAAATTCAAAGGAGAGATGGAAGCCATGAAGGCTTCCAGTGGGCTGGACTGGAGAAACAGAGTGAAGGGGAGAGGGCACCCAGGTGGGACAGTCTGAGCAAAGACTGCCACTGGATGCCTCAGGATAAACACACAGCCTCAAATGCAACTGGACACACTTTTGTTGAATAGCTACCACATGCTGAACACCGACAGCCCTAAGATGGCCTGGGCCATTCCTCCAGAGATCAGGCTTGGCTCCAAATGGCTCACAGACTGAGCTCCTGGGGGAACCTGGACAGAGAAGGGGACACCTGCACAAAGAAGGGAGGGCAGGGAGGAGGCCAGAGAGACAGCAAGTGGCAACTCACTCCTTTTACTGTCTACTATGAACCTGCTGTGTTGGGGAGGGAGGAAGATGGAACAAGGCAAAATGACGTGGGAGCTAATTAGTCACATAAAGGGGCAAGGCCTGGTCCAGAGCCACACGGTGCAAGCATGGCAGAGGGTGCTAGGCCCCCAGACCCTAGGGAATATGGCTTTTCTTGTTTCAAAGCACTTTCCATTCACTTTATCACAGCAGTTTTGAGAGGACAAGGAAGAAGAGGAATTCAGAAGCCCACCTACTTTCCAGAAGTAGAAGCTAACAGCCCAGAGGTAGAGAAAGGTCCAGGGTCACACCAGACCCACCCCAGCATCTGTTCCTGGCCTCAGCTCACTGGGGTCAGGAGGAGATGAGATTTCCCTGTGGCACTGGACCCTCTCAGATGCAGCCACTACCTTGGACAAAGCCCTGGACAAGGACCCTAGGGCCAGGTTTCCAGGCAAAGCCCTGACAACCACTGGCCTTGGGACAAGTCCCTGGCCCTCTGACCTGTTTCTCCATTTATAAAACACAATCATTGCCTTATGCTGTGGTACCTAATGGTTCTTGGTTCTCTTTGGGTCTCCTTTCCCCAACTGAGATGTTTAGCACCCCTAATCAAGGCTGCCTACTGCCCTGCAGCCCTTTCACAGGGGCCATCAGCCAACCAGGAACCAATCACCATGGGGACCTGGGGAGGGGGCTTTACCTCGGTAGTTCGACTGTGATTCCTCAGAGGCTGGAAGCAAAAGGGGCTCTATGCAGTGGGACAGGGAAGCAGAGACCTTTTCATTCAGTCATTCATTCACCTACAAACATTCACTTTACACTGTCTTGTGCTAGACCCTGGAGTAGAAACACGATAGTGAAGAAGAGCCAGTGCCTCCTCTGCGGGGATGACACAGTTGGGGCTTGGAGCTGATGTGGACCAGGGCTGGAGGGAGTACAAGAGCTGAGGGTCCAGCCCCAATGGCATCTGTCTGAGCATTTGTGTTTATATGAGAAAAGACACCACAGATGGTTACCACCACAAACCAATGGCATTGGTGGAGGGCAGGGGTGGGCTCAGAGTGTGTTGGCTAATCTCGGGATGCACATGCTTGCATGCATGGGTCTGTAAGCCTGCAGAACACACCCAGGAACCTGCATGGGCCCAGAATTATGAATGTTCGTGCACATGTATGGATGAGCCCGCATGTACTTGCATGAGATGAGGTACATCTGAGCCTGCCTGGAACTCTGCACAAGTTCATGCAAGCCTTTCTATGCATGTGCTTGCACACCCAAATGAGCATGAGTCTGTGTGTATTCACATGTGGACAATCTCACATGTACGTATGTACAGACATGTCCAATCATGCATGTGCAAATTGCAGTTCTCATCTGCCAATACCTGGAAGAGAGGGAAGGGGGAAGGAAGGGCCAGCTCCCCCTCTCCCCAGCATCAATGGCTCTAGTCCTTAACAGTGGTCCTTGCCGGAGACCCAAGCCACCGCAGGGTCTGCTTCTTCTCCTTGAGTGGTATTGATCTGTTAAATATAACCTTGGGGGAGGAGTCAACCCAACAACCATCCTTAATTCAGGAGAAAGAGACTGACTGATCTTAGGTGGGGGGAGCCTCTATCCCAACCAGCTCTGCTGATACCAGAATGGCCTGCAGGATCAAGTGTCAGCCTCTCCAGCCTGAATAATTCATACCAAGACCAGGAGTGCTCCCTTCTCAGGAGCCTGTTTCTTCAAATCAGGTCTGGAGCCTCCCAGTTCTAAAAAAAAAAAAGTCCAAAACAAACCCATAACCAGCTCAACCCCGGCCCCCTCTGAGACCATCCCTTAATTCCATGCTGCAAAATCTGCTCCTATTCTCCCAACCACTGGAACCCCAAACCTCCCACCCACTTATCATTTACAGGTGGGGTATCCTGGTGGGAAGGAGGGGCAGTTGACAACATCCAACAAGCCCAGAGTCCTGACACCCAATAGAGCAGTCTAGTGGGGTTCCTGCCTGGATGCTGGAGCAGGGAGGGGACTGCAAAGAGCTGAATCACCACACCCACTGATCCCAAGGCCTGGGAGAATCCTCGGAGGAGGAGTCCAGCCTGGTGGAGGAAACCAGATGAAAGAACTCCAGGCATAGCAGCCAGTGAGTTGAGGGGCTGACTCTAGGAAGTAGAGTGGAATGGGGGTCGAGAAAACACTAGTCCCATGGGACTTGCTGTGGTAGTAACCCAGCCAGGCCTAGAGTAACCAGGGTCGCTGGGGAGGGGGCCGGAGGCTGGGGATTTTCCAGTCTCTCCTGACACAGCCCTCTCCTAGATCACAGAGATTAGGAAGTGGCTGAAAAATCACTAATTTTCTCAGCCCACCCCTCATCCCTTCCTGCTCTTGTAGGGGAGACGTAGTAAAGACCTGCCCCAAATTCTCACTCGGTGATGCTGACCCACCTGCCTGCTCTCCTTGGTCCGGCCCAGACCCACAGTGCCAGAGAGGGTAGGGGAAGAAACCAGCTTAAACACGGGAAGTAGGGGAGATGAGGCTGCAAGTGAGAACCTGGGAGAGCCAAACTTCTCAGCAGACCCGGAGCTGGAGAGGGGGAAGAGAAGGCACAGCAACCAAAAGCTCAGATTCTCAGGAGCCTCCTACCCCGCCTCTCTGCGAGGAGGGCGCGGAGACTCCGCTAGGGGCGGAGGAGGTGGCCAGGAGGCGGGGAGGGGGGAGGCAAACCCTGCCCACTCGGCTCGGAGCCCGGAACGGCCGCGGAAGCCGGAGGCCAGCGCGCAGGGCGAATAGGGCACAGGGGGCGGGGGGCTCTGCTCCCTGCCTGACCCCTCTTGCCCCAGCCAGGAAAGTGAAGGCTCCTCGGATTTTAGAGCCGACGGACGGACCGACTGCGACTGCCAGCCTCTCCAGGTCAAGGACTTGCCCCACCCGCCCCCTCCCCGCCCCCAAGGCGCTCCGAACTCACTGGTGAGCGCGGCGGCCCAGGCGCTGGATGCGGGCGCAGCCACGATGGCCCCGCGCGCGGGACAGCCGGAGCCAAGGGGGCCTCTGCTACAGGGGCTGCTGCTCGTGGCGGCGGCGCTGAGCCAGCCCGCCGCGCCCTGTCCCTTCCAGTGCTACTGCTTTGGCGGCCCCAAGCTGCTGTTGCGCTGCGCGTCGGGCGCAGAGCTCCGGCAGCCGCCGCGGGACGTGCCACCCGACGCGCGTAACCTCACCATCGTGGGCGCCAACCTGACGGTGCTGCGCGCGGCCGCCTTCGCCGGCGGGGACGCGGATGGGGAGGAGGAGGCGGCGGCGGAGGGCGGCGTGCGCCTGCCGTTACTGACCGCGCTGCGCCTCACGCACAACAACATCGAGGTGGTGGAGGACGGTGCCTTCGACGGGCTGCCCAGCCTGGCGGCGCTCGACCTGAGCCACAACCCGCTGCGCGCCCTGGGCGTCGGCGCTTTCCGCGGGCTGCCGACGCTGCGCTCGCTGCAGCTCAACCACGCGCTGGCGCGGGGCGGCCCCGCGCTGCTGGCCGCGCTAAACGCCGCGCTTGTCCCGCTAGAGGAGCTGCGCCTCCTGGGCCTGGCGGGTAACGCGCTGAGCCACCTGCCGCCCAACGCGCTGCTCCGGCCGCGCCTCGAGCAGCTGGACGCGCGCCTCAACGCGCTGGCCGGTCTGGGCCCCGACGACCTGCGCGCGCTTGAACGCGATGGCGGACTGCCCGCGCCGCGCCTGCTGCTTGCCGACAACCCCTTGCGCTGCGGCTGCGCCGCGCGCCCCCTGCTGGCCTGGCTGCGCAACGCCACGGAGCGCGTCCCCGACGCGCGGCGACTGCGATGCGCCCACCCCCCGCAACTGCACAACCGGCCTTTCCTGGACCTGGACGAGGCGTGGCTGCACTGCGCTGACAGCAACGCCAAAGGTCCCGGGGATGTAGAACTCACCGGCCCGGAGCTGGAAGCCTCCTATGTGTTCTTCGGGCTGGTGCTGGCGCTCATCGGCCTCATCTTCTTAATGGTGCTCTACCTAAACCGCCGCGGTATCCAGCGCTGGATGCGCAACTTGCGCGAGGCTTGCCGGGACCAGATGGAGGGCTACCACTACCGCTACGAACAGGACGCCGACCCGCGCCGCGCGCCCGCTCCGGCCGCCCCTGCCAGCTCCCGCGCCACTTCCCCAAGCTCGGGCCTCTGAGCTTCGCCTGTTGGAGGTTGGGGATGCCCCTGCCAGCTGGTGACTTTATTAGGGCTACCCGGCCTGAAAAAGTGGATATGAGACACTCTCGAACTTGAGGCTTTTGAGACTTGCCCCTGATCCGCCTGAGACCTTTGGATTGTGGCATCACCACCCCCCTACACACACACACACACACACACACACACACACAGGGTCCCCAAGCTGTACCCCCTTCTTCCCAGCCTCTGAGAGCTCTCACCATCAAAGTCCCAGAGACACCCCTTCTGATTTCAGAAGCCCTACTCACCCATTCCAGGCTAGGGACCCATCAGCCACCCCTCTCCTCTTTTAAGACACCTTGTCCTAAAACCCTAAAGCCCAGAGATTGCCTCCCTTACCCTGTTCTTTGAGCCCTGGCTTCTCAGTGGGGAACATCACCCTAGATTTCATGGACAGCCATCTCCAGCTTGGAGCCCTCAGTTCCCTTCCCAGAGCTTGGGTCCTCACATCCCATTCTGGTCTCAGAAACAGAGCACTCCCATGAAAAGGTTTTGTGGACTTTGAGCCTTTTTTCTCATACCTGATCTCTGAGCCCTTCATCCTGCATAGAGACTCACATCCTGGGGCTCTAAAGGTTGGGCACCCTCCCCCATCAGAGGATGTATTTCATACCACTCACCACCCCAGCTCTGGCTCAGGCCCCTCCCTTCCTTGGCCCAGGTTTGGGGCTCAGCTCCCTTGGTCTCTCCCATTCTAGGGACAGGCACACCCTGTTATAGCCTTAGTGTGGAGCTGGTCCTCAGCCTTTCCCACCAAGGCTCTGATCCCCCAGAATTCAGTGGTTACCCCAATCTCAGACTCTCAGCTCTTTGCCCCAATCTGAGTTTCATCCCCCTGCCCAAGTCTTAGGCTCTTGATTCCACCTACATCCATAGCTTTCACTCAGTACTGACCTCTGCCACTCATTAGACCGGGATACAGTGAGGAATCCATCCCTGGGATGTGCCCACCCCCTTTACCTGCTAAAATGAGCTCTCCAGCACTGCGAGACAGGTGCAAGTGCCACACCCCCAACCATACTGGCATATCCTCACAGAGAAAGGAGAGTCCTGGAGGTGTGAAGTCCGGCCTCAGAACCAGGGTCGCCCACCCATCATGGCCTCAGAGGGGGGTAAGAAGGGGACTCTGAAGGGCTGGAAACTGCTGCCCACATGCTCTTTTCCACCCATGTGACTCCTCCCCTAAGGATTTCTTGCAGGGGGTCTTACCTCCTGTCTTAGGTACAGGCCCTTCTGTTCAGGGTCAGAGCCTCAGCGCCCTGCCTTCTGCATGATCCCAAAGCACAATTGGTGAGTGGGGAGGGGGCTGCCTCTCCCTGACTCCCACCCTCTTGGTCAGGCAGAATGGCTGGCCTGTGCTGCTTCCGCACACAGGAAGTCACCCTCCTTCAACATACTGGCTTGAGGCCTGCCTTCCCACCCCTACCCAAGAAATCTGGATGTCCCTTGGGCAGTTTTCTATAAAGTCTGCAATAATCTCTGATACTCTGCTCTTGTAAGTGGTGCCATGTCATTTCTGCTGACCGTGGGGCGTTGAGGGGAGTTGGAGGGGGCACTTGGGAGGGCATTTTAGACCTGCCCAAGGTGCAGTGTTCCTTGGTGTCTTCTCCTGGACTATGGGAAAAGAAATGGGCTGTGGCTGCACATAGCAGGATTGAGACTAGGCACATAGACTTCCCATGGAATGGCATTGCTCTCCAAACCAGTCTGCTTTTTATCCTCAGATGGGGTTATACACAGCCAGAGTGGGAGCCTACATCCTCTTACCCCTCCATCCTCATCACAGCAGTGGGGGTGGGGGTTGTGGGGGAGATGTGGTTGGACTGACTAATGCTAGCCTCAGATGAGGCTACCAGGGAGAAAATCCAGCCACAGAGAACTGAGGCCGTTATTTCAGACAAGAGGATAGATCATTATATCCTGCTTTGGCATCATCACCTCTTGACGAATCACCTGATACTCTCTTGTATGCTTTGTCATGTCCCAGTGTCCTGGCTAGAGGGGTAAGAATTGCCCCTTGGGTATGTGAGAGGCTGAAAGGAGGAGCAGCCCAGAGGTGGGGATGGATAAAGTGACCCCTTAAGATATGTGGAGCAAGGAGGCAGGTGGGTTCTGGGTCAGTAGGGCTAGGCTAAGAGGTTTATCTCCTGCCTCAAGTCTCCAGGCTGGGTTATTTCACATTTAGGATCTCAAAGCCCTAGAACCACATGGTGGAAGTCCAGAACTCTAGCATGTCAAAATTTTAGGTCTGCATCATCCTATAAATGGTGCCTTATAAACATTGAAAAGTACCTCAGGGGTAATGTGGGAACCATCTCCTAAGCTATCTCAACAAAGAACACCCTCTCTCCATAAAGTGCTCACTCCCTTTCTTCCTAGGAGCATCCCTTCTATCGCCAGAGAATCTGACTTCCTGACCAGTCAGTCCCAGCTTTGCCTTGGGGCCAGGAGCACAGCTCACCTCAGGATAGCTCTTTACATTCTTTACACTCAGAGCTGGAGACAGTGCATGAGTCCTTATCTTCTCCCAGCAAAATCCTCATGAGAAGGGTTTAAATTCTCTTGAAGCATTCCCATCTGTCAATGACCTTCAAAGGATGCGCTGCCAATTCTCTAGAACAAAGTAGTGTTAGTGTCTCTAACATGGTTAGAGAACTGTCTTTAACAAGTCACCCCTCCAGTTCCAAAGGCATGTCCTCTGAGAATGTAGCCAGAGAGTCCTGGCAAATAAAACATGCTATTAGCTGTGGGTTCATTGTCAGCAAAAATCTTTGAGAGTTTTATATGAGAGCTGCTGCTAAGCTAAGTATCAAATCAATAGTTGTCAAAAATCAATTGATTGAGTGCCTAATGTATGCCAGTTGATATTTAACCTTGGTGCTCATTAAATGTTGTCTCTGGGCTGCTATCCTCTTGCAGCCTGTTAGTGGCCTTTGGTCTTATGGGGCTATCAACAGGTCCCCAGGGGCCACAGCTTTGCCTCCTCTGCAGATCCAGCCATTCACTCAGCCTTTACTTACTAAATACAACTTTGCCATCCCAGAGAAGCTCATGATCCTGGGGAGGAGTCATATTTAATCAAGGTTTAGAGAAAAGAAGTCCCAGGAAACTGAAAGCTCAGGGTAAGGACCCCTGACCCAACCTAAGGAGATTTTTCAGAGGAAGTCACATCTGAGTGGGGTGTTAAAGGATGAGTAGGAGTTTGCAGAACAGAGAAATACCAGAAGTTGTCTGCTTGTGCAGAGGCCTGCAGGCAGAAAGATCTTGTTAGTCTGAGAATTGGAGAAGACCATTCATGGCGGAAAGGGTGTATGTGGGTAAGATGGATCTGCGTGCCCACGTTCTCCACTGGGCGGCAGTAGAGGGACCTCCGTCTTCGGAGAAGTCAGGGAAGTGGAGGGGTGTGATATGTGGGACAGGGGAGCTGCATGGTGCCTCTCACTTGTTCCTTCCTTCTGCCCATCCTTTCTGTGTCAGGTCTCACGCTGGGGACTGGAAACAGAGAGGAATCAGAACTAAGCCGTGCCTACCGGAGGCCAGGTGGGCAAGGGGATAAGGGAAGTGGCCTCCAGAGAAGCCCGAAGATATAGTATAGGAAAAGGTGAGATGGAGGGATCTGGCTGGCCCTGCCCTGACACCCTGATGCCACCCACCCGCCCCAGACCCCTCAGCAGTGGCAGGGCCCCACCGAATGGCCAGCCTCCCCTCTAAGCATGTGCTGGGAATGCTGCTGGAAGTCTGTGGTGGGCATGAGACCGCAGGGCACTGCAGGGGCCAAGTGCCAGGGGGGAAATTCTGTCCAGGATGTCCCCTTGGAGAACAGTATGATAGAGAGCAGGAGAGGGAGAGAACAGGGGTGTAACTGTCGGAGACGCGATAGACATGACACCAGCTATTCACTAAGAGAAACATGTCAGACTCCTCAGAGTTCTGTGACCCTGTAAGGATTGTGAAACTTCCTCTCAAAAGCACAGGGAGCCATCTCCTTGAGAAGGTGATTTCTGTGACCCCTTTCCTCCCCATGCCCCTTGGTCTGGGGTGGGAACCAGTGAGGGCCCAGCTGGAGTCCAGGTTTCCGTCTGAAAGCTGTCATTTGGTCCTTAGAAGTACCGGTTGGGATCTTACCCTGCTGGGTGCTGGGGATTCAGCAGTGAACAAAGCAGAGCTGGCTTCTGCCATCCTGGCCCAGTCCGACCCTGACCTTGGACACCCCTGCCTGTCTCTGGCTCCAGGTTCCTTCTGTCCAGGCCGGGGCTGGACTTGCGGCCTCCAAAGGCATTGCCTGCTCTCACTGGAGTCCATCTCCTTCTGCATTAAGACTCTGCCTGGCAGACTCACAGCCCTAATTTATGGGCATTGCCTTTCCCGAACTGAGAGAAGTGATGGGGGCAGTTTATATCCCTGGGGAAATGAACGTGGCTCCTCACAGTCCCCCCCTCCCCCCATCCCCCCTCCCTCACTGCCCCCTCTCTTCCCTCAATGCTGCCTCGAGGCAATTTACCCAGGGCTGGCCAGTCCCATGCAGGTCACCTTAACTAACCCGTCACTGTACTGGTGGGGAAATGGAGGCCCAGAAAGCCCAGCAGCCCTCTTCCAAGTCATAAATGGCATCAGGTACAGAGCAAATCCAGAGCCCGGGATGCTCCCTGGGGCCATCCCTGCCCTGCTCTGGGTCTGACTGTCTGACCCAGGGCTGCCTCATCTCCTACGTCGGTATCTCCACCCCTGTGGTCATTGCCTCCTGCAGCCAGACCCAAGCCTGTGGTGGCCTCTCAGAGAACAGCAAACAAGGAACGGGTGGGGAGGACTCGTCAGCCTCCATTGGCAGCTACCAGCAGGCCTCAGAAACCCAGCCTCCTGCAGGCAGACACCCTGCTGGGGGATCCTTCTGGATGGAAAGGGCATCTCTACCTCTCCCCGAGAGGAAAAAGAGTTTTGTTCTGGACCCCCAATCTCTGAGGTCCCAAGCATATAACTCATTCTTTCTGAGCCTCTTGTCTCTGCTGAGCAGCTGCT